TGCAGGCCAGTCGCAGCCGGCCGTCGGCACCGTACCGTCCCGGCGGGCATTCTGCACAGGGAAGAAAGCGACAGAGCTGCTCAGTGGCCAGAGAGCCCCGGCCCCACTCCTCCTTCAGAGGGCCATGACGTGATAAGGCAGGACAGGCACAAGTGGGGATAACAGAAACTGGCCCCAGTATGAAACAGACTGAGTGAGCTCCACGGTTACTGGGCCGGTGCAGGAGAACGCAACCAAGTCAGGTTTACCTAATTCGCAGGATTTCCCCGTCCACCCGAGCGCACATGAACAGGAGCCGTCGGCTGCATCACACAGCCCCCCGTTGCGGCAGGAGCAGCTCTGCTGGCAGCCCACCCCGTACCGGTGCTTCTCACAGCCTGCGGGATGAGAGGCAGCGGCAGTGGGCACGCGGAGCACGGCGCGGTTCGGGCAGCAGCACCCCAGCGCAGGCAGAGGTCTCAGGGCGAGGAATTCTGTTCCCGCTCGGGACCTGTTCCAGCCCACTGCCTGAAACGCCTGCTTGTCCTGATGCACAGCCCTGCAGCTACTCTTTACCTCGCTCACAGGTGGGACCAGCTCTTCCCGGTGGGCAAACGCAGTCTCCGGTGACGGGGTGACAGGTAGCGCCGTCCCCGCAGGAGCACAGCCGTGCGCAGTCCTTACCGTAGCGACCGGCAGGACACCCTGGCGGGAGGAAGACCTCGGTCACGCCAAAGCACCGCTGGCCGCGTTTGAAGGCTCGAGAGGAAGGACTCTGGGGATCAGGAGGGGTCTGCAGCCCTGTCGCTAGTGCGCAGTGCGGCCAGCAGAGCGGGGGAAGAGCTTTTAGGACTCCTTCTGCTGGAGGAGTGGAGCATTTTTAGCAGAGAGACAGCAATACAGCGACGGCATGATGCGGAGACTGATGTGTCAGGCCTTGCCGAGTGGAGAAATCATTTTGGCACGAAACAAACGGAGCAAGAGAATGTTTCTGTGGTTAAGGCAGACAGCAAACGCGGTCAGCTGCAGCTCCGTTCCCGCGGTAAGGCTGGCACGACGCACGCCAGCCCCGTGCAGAGGCGGGGAGGGCACTGCTGAGAGCACGGGTTGTAAAGGGGGAGAAGGAGCTCTTTTTCTGCCGATGGGCCAATGCAGGAGTCAGTCACTATAACGCATCTCATCTCCCGCAGGCTCAGCACCCGGCGGTGTGCAGGATTTGCACCTACCGCCATTCGCCTCCTGCTGAGGAACCCCCTGTGAGCTCACGTCCCCCCCGGCTGATGCGGCACTCACCCACACCGCAGTCAGCGCCGATGTAGCCGGCCGGGCAGTGGCACATCCCTGTGGTAATGTCACACAGACCCCCGTTCTTGCACTTGCATGGCCTTTCACAGTTGTGGCCGTACCACCCAGGGGAGCACTCTGCCGGGAAAGAAACAGAAACAACAGCCTCAGCGCCTGAAAAGATGAGAACAAGGTCCAAACTCTCTGGAAAAGCCCACCACGTGGACTCAGCCACCCACTTTGTCGGCGAGGAAGCCGACAGCTCTGCTGGAGGTGGGTTTGTGCCAGGCTGGCACAGGCGACGGGCTTCTGGTCCGCTTTGTAGCACAGAGCTGCTCCAAAGCACGCACGAGTCAGCCAGCTACGGCAGCGTGCCAAGGGCGCGCAGCTCACACGCATCCCTCCCATGAGCGGACCGTGTCGGATGCGAAACATCCATCGCAGCCAACACAAGCTCCTGCAAGCCGTGCTCAGGTGCTCCATCCCAGTGGCAAA